GTAATTTTGGTGACAATGTGAATGTCAATCTCAGAGTATTCACAGCTAGATTGTTGGAGAAAACCGTGGGCCACCAGTCCTGCTTTAAACCGTGAAATAATGCCATCTGCACTTCTCTTGATATGGAAGGGGTGAGGTCATGAATTAGTGAAGGCAGATTTAATTTTGGGTTGGTAAATTAGGAGAGGCAGTGTGAGGTGGCGTGAGATTGGAGGAAATAGGTGGGTTGAGAGATGAGGGAAAATGTGTCGCGGGGGTAATATGAGGGGATAATATTGGGTGTGGGATGTGAGTCAAAAACGGATACGGGGAATAGTTATGGATACATGTGCAAGGATAGATGGTGGCAGGTGAAGGATTAGTTGGGGTCAAATGGGATGAGAATGCACTATAGTCAAGAGAGAGTGGACCACAGGAGGTAGTTGCATGAATGTAGGCGAGGGAGACAGACTCGATACAGGCGTAGATTTTAAGAAATGGTATGAAAATACATTTAGAATAAAACGTACACTACGGCTCGTGTAAGACTGATTTGTGTTGGGGGTCTAAACAATAATATGCAAACTGAGATAATGAATAACCAATAAAGACACATGGTGTGGATCGAGCTATAATTTTGGACGTAGTATATGGACAAAGCCACAGATAACACAAACACCCAGCTGATTGTAATTTAGTGTAGTTCGGGTTGCGTTTATGGAGCTGAGCATATGGTGGAATAGGACCAGTAAGAATGTGGAAGACTGGAGTAGTGAAGCAGGGTAAGTCCGGAATCGACAATATGAAGATGACGGCGTTCTGCTATGCCATTGTGTTCAGGGGTATGAGGGGTGCAATAAAGTGGGATATGCCATGTTGGATGAGACAAGACCGCAACTTAATATATTCACCCATTATTTGAGAAGAGAAATTTAAGGGGATATTTAAAATATTTTTCAACCAGACGATGAAACTGAGGAAACATACGAAACACTTCACTTTTTTGTGAAGTAATCCACAAAAAATAGCTCACATAGTATTAATCTAAAAGGACACCTTGGTGCTTTTATTGATATGACATGACAAACAATGAGAATCCCACAACATGATGTTACAAGGAATAACATCTTTATTTTGATGAATTAACATATTAAAGATGCGACTGGATGGATGACCAAGTATGTGATGTCATTGTTACTGAACAGAGACCTTGAAAGAAATAATTCTACCTTGTCAGGTACTAGAATAGGTGAGAGAGAGTTTATCCCAGGCATGCTTGGCCGTGATAGCGAATGAGATCAATGGTTGGATTGCATCAGAGCAATTGCTAAGTAAGACACTTATGATAGTGCAATCTTGGCGATACCAAATTCTATAACAGGGATTAAGTAAAGACTTGGTAGCATCCAGGTACTGATCAGATGTAGTAATGGATCCATCAACGTACCCTTTAAGACCAAGTCCCACCAGAGCGGAGTGAACTTGGCACTTCCATACAACAAAATTAGATGTGGAACAATCGGGGTGTTAGGTGTGAATTTAGGGATGGCAATGGGGCAAGGTTGGGGCGGGGGTTCACTCCCCCATCCTCACCCTGTGTCTCAAAAATCGCCCTCACCCCCGCCCCATCTCCCACTACTATTCGACCCGCCCCATCCCCCGCCCTGACCCGCTAGATCCACAAGTACTCAACGGGGGAAGTACTCATCAAAAATTAACATCATTTTAGACTCTTGACAATTTTAAAAAAATTAAACAACACTTCTAGGGCCAAAAAAACTTTTACTTTTTAAGTGTCAATGTAATCTTACATCCTATTTCAAATCTAGAACACATTATACGCGTTTTAATTTAGTCATTTTTATCAAACTCTAAATTAACATTGATTAGCTCTATAATATTTTCTTAAACCATGCATTCAATCAATCATGGTCATTTGACGGCATCTAGGACGACCTATGATCACCAACTTTTAAGAGCCCTAACTACAATCATAAAGATGACATTCAAAAGAAAAGAATTAATGCATTGTAATAGTAAAGGAAAAAAACATTCACACCGTGCCTGGGGCGTTTAAGCTAATATCACTTTATAACTTTCCCAAATTTATTTTACTTTATCCCAAAAAAATTAATAATTTTACTATATGATTTTGATAAGCAATTTTACAAGATAGCTTAGTTATTAAACAAGAATTAGATAGACCCATTAGGCACAATCCATTAGATAGGAAATTACTAAACCCACCGAGCCACCATGCAATTTTAATTACTTCATATTAGTATTATTATTAGTATTATTATTGAGATTATTATTATTATTATTATTATTATTATTATTATTATTATTATTATTATTATTATTATTATTATTATTATTATTATTATTATTATTATTATTATTATTATTATTATTATTATTATTATTAATTATTACGGGGGACGGTGTGGGGGGTGCATAACCCATTACCCGCCCCATATTTAAGCGGGGAGAAAATAACTCCCCCACCCCACCACCCGCCCCACCACACCACCCGCCCCAACTCCCCCCCACGGGGCGGTTCCCCACGGCCCCCCGCCCCCATTGCCATCCTTAGGTGTGATAGCAACCATGGATGGATTGCAAAAGAAAAATTGATATCTTGTTAGAGAAATACTCTTGATACCATGAAAAAGTATATTGAAAATAGTGTATAGAATAATTTACATCATGTATGTATCTGGAGATATATATGACTAGCTAATATGGTCATAATTTAGTATTTTGGACACCTTTAAATTAAAATATAGAAGGGACCCATAGTTTAATTTTAGTGGGACCAAATCTAATTTGTTGTGCTTCATAAGATGAGTCCGTATATCATACCACTGGGTGTACGTACACCCAGCCCAACAATCAATACAGGCCAAAATATTTTGGTGGCAATTTTGTAATTTGAATGAAAAATCGCGGCTTCCGCTGAATGAGCAATAATGTAATTTTAGTGAGCATCGAACTTATTTTATTGAGTATTAGGAAGCTAAAAATGAGAAACGTGATCCCTGCTTCATATCTTTTATTTCACTTTCTTTTTCTTATTTTTCTTTAATAAAAACTTCTTAAATTATATCTACGTTCAACTCTTATGAATTTTTGTATGCAAATCTAATGTAATATAATATTTTTGATATATGCATTGATATAACTCTTTATAACCGAACATAACGTCAATATCAAATGAGCATAAGTAACTTACAATATGAGTATTACACCAAGATAAAATGAGCATACATACTTACAAAACGAGTATCAAAAAAATTCAAAAAACTCACTTAAAATCTCCAGTATGCTCAAATAGTAAATGAGAATGCATAATCTACGAAATGAGCATCGAAAAAACTAAAATGAGCATTACACCAATATGCATGAATATGACATTTTGAAATGTATGGTCTAATGCTCATTTCAAAATGAGTATTATACCAATATCAAATGAATATAGATAACTTACGAAATGAGTATCAAAATGATATTTTAAAATTAGCATAAAATCGATATCAAATGAGCATTTGTAACTTACAAAATGAGTTATATAAGAGCAAAACATTAATACATAAAATATTTTATAATTGAATAACATTAAAGTAAAAAACACGAAAGAGAAAAGAAAGAAGGATACAAGTTAAAGCATGAAAGGAAGAAAAGAAAAAACAAAACCAAAAAAGTAAGCAAAACAAAGCAAACAGCCAAACATCGAAGCAGAACTCTTCGTCGAAGCAGGGCAAACATCGGCACCTCCTCCGCCGATTCCCGGGACATCAGCGCGCGCAACAAACAGAACTCTTCGGCGGCTTCCCTAATCTTTACCATCTGAGTTGTAATTAATTTAAAAAATACCCGGTTGTACGGTGAGAACCATACAACCGGGTGTACAGTAAATTTTACCTTCATAAGATGACAAAAACCATATATTAAGTAATTATGGAAAACTATTTTGAAATGAATGAAAAATATTTTGTCTCCGAAAAGTGTCCCGAAGCTAATTTCGTGTGTGGCATGTTGCACAAAAATAAAGGGAAAGTTCCCGAAATGAGACTAAAAAAGTTTGAAAATTTCAAAATAGGACTGTCATTATATTTCAAAAAAGTTTTAAATATAATGACGAACTCCTTTGTCCCCTTAATTTTCAATTTTTTGATGGATAAAGCTTTAGTGAACAAGGAAAAGGTTTTTGAAAGATAGGTCACCACCTCTCCTAAATGCTCCGTAGATGCTAAGAATGGAGCTTTCATGTCTGCCTATGTTTTGCAGCGTCCAAAAAGCATCCATAAAACACAACTCTCTTATGCTTTCTCCATTGCCGACTGTTGCATCTTTGAGTTCGCCAATATCCTTCAATTCGTAATCATATAAACTGTTATATCCTAGAAGGCGTTTGCTACGTGTGTTGCAGTCAAACCCGTCTTAAGCAAACCACATCTTTTGTTGGGCCAAATTATCAAGTACCTTTACTTCACCCTTTCATTTTATTTTATTGCATGCATAAAATTTTAACTAATAACGACTTTATGAAGTTTTCACTGTTGTTTTATAAATGTACATTTTAAATACTAAACTATTCACGCGAATGATTTAACTTTTATCATTAATTGATTTTAAAAACCATAAATTGCAAATTATTCAAGAGAAGGGAAGTATATAAAATTGAACATGCCTAAGAAACTCGAAGTAATGGGGTTGCTCTAATATTAGCTCCAATATAAAATTGCTGTCACTCTAATGCTAAAATTTTATGGCAATTTATGACTTGATCCAAACGAGATATAGAGGTATAGTCTAGCTTTAGCTGGGTAACAATCTCAATGAAATTATATAGATTGAAACAACGTACGAACTACGAAGGCACGAAGCACTTAATTGCAGTGGCGAAGCCAGAAATGGTAGATTATTGGAGTAAAGAATTCATATTTTTGAGGCCCAACCTAAAAGTTTCACTACTTTTTTTACTGCCTATAAAAATATATGCATATTTAAAAATATCATCCCCAATCTCTACCCTGCTGATTAGGGTAAGCATCGATCATATATTATCAAAGACATCGTTGTTGCTGGTTCAACAATTTTTTACAGATGAGCAGTTAGTTAAATATAATGCATCTACTACATGAACTGGTGGGAGCTAGCTAGCTAGTTTTAACCTGGTTTGATCTGATCCCTAATTAATTAAGAATCTAAGATGACTTGTAAAGATAAACTGTTAGTTTGAGGGAGGGAGAGGGAGTGATTATGTTCGCCTTCGTAAGTGACGATCAGCACCGTCGGATCGTCCGGCGCTCTCTCCACGTGCTTCCGTGCCGGACACCCTCTCACGCTGCTGCATTTATAATATCCCCTGCAACCATCAATACATTCTTTCTTATGCTCCACTTTTTTCTTTAATTTGAAGCGCAAACAAGGGAAAGTTCCCGAAATGGGACTAAAAAAGTTCGAAAATTCAAAAATATGACTGTCATGTTTTTATTCCCAAAATAGGACTAATTACTGCCAAATTTGGAAAATACTGCCATGTTTGAAGTCTGGTACGGCCAAAACATGGCAGTAATTAGTCCTATTTTGGGAATAAAAATATGGAAGTCCTATTTTGGAATTTTCAAACTTTTTAGTCCCATTTTGGATAATATTTCCTCAAACAATAATAAATTAAATGCTCTTAAATCTACTAGTATGATATATAATGAATATAAAGAATTTGCTTCCCAATGGTAAACATGGACATAGTTTTAATCCATTTTTATCTCAACTTTGGCTATTATTCGTACTTGAGTACTAGTATTGTTTCAACTTAAACACCTCTACTTAAAAATCACATTTTGAAACACTCAATAGACATGTATCAAAAGTGAATCGGTGTTAAATACTAGTATGTGTATAAATACAACGTTGATACAATATTTGTATCATCAAGTGTAATTTATTCGTTCTAAAATAGAATTTGGAAACTAGGAACTATTGAAGTTGGAAAAAATCTTACTGAAGTTGTGAAAAAATTATACTATGTATTTAAAATAAATTTTATTAGTAAAATTGTGAAAATATTATATGAAAATAACTAAAATGTTTTCTACAGTAATTTAGTTGATGCAGCTAATAAATGAAAAAGTGGAATATAAAATGGGTTTAAATATGTTTTCTGTTCATAATAAGACTTATTTAGGTGTATTTAAAGGAATAAAGTAACAAAAACTTTCCAAACAAAATTAAGGGAACCCTATATATACCTTGGATGAGGAGATCCTTTAATGGGCTTCTGACCATACTTCCTCCATGAGAAATCATCAGGCGGGATATCTGACATCTTCAAGCTTATAGCAGGAACTCGGATCACCCTCTTCTGTCTATGCTTCCTGTATGGACGATCACCAACATAATAATAATAACGTTTTTATTAGTACCCATTTTAATTGTGCTTAATTTTTAGTACTAGTAACTATATACTCCGTATCTTATATGTCCAACAAATGTATTCCCCTGTTTCAGTTCTATCCTTTTCCTGAAGATTTTGAATGTCTCATTAGAGCTCATTTGGTAACAAATTGGTTGAATGTTACAGGTTCATTTCATTTCATTTCATTTTCATTTGCCCCAGTGCCGTAAAGTCTCCCACCTACGATGGGGTAAGGGGGGTCGGATGTACGCAGTCTTACCCCTGTACTAAAGCACAGAGAGACTGTTTCCGAATGACCCATAGTGAAAATCACATTCAAAATTGTATGGACTGACTGGTGCTTCATAACAAAGAAGTATAGACAGTTTAGTGAACCATTTTGCTTTATTCCATCATATAATGTTACAAGTTCTATACACAAATTGGCTGAATTGGTGAAAGTAATGAAGTTCTGACTGAAGTGACTGGATTAGCTGATTCTGATGATTTATAAAAAATTATATTTATTTTTTTTATTAATAAAATAAAAAAATTGAACGAAAAATAGCTAAAATGATCATCTACATAATTTCAGCCAATATATCCAGAAAAGTAACTCCAATCTTACTTTTTCTTCTTTTTATACAATTCAACACGCAAAATCAAAAGTTAAGTGTTTAGTGAAAAGGTTGACTGATAAGCTTAATGAGTCGAAAAACAGAATCACCAAACGGCTCTTAGTGTACTACGGACTATAGAGTATTAAACAAATTTATAATGTAAATATATATCGTTTCATTTAGTTCAATAAATCCTTTTTAGATAGATAAACATATCAATAAATTAAAAAAAAAAATCAATTAATGACCAAAGGAATGTCATCAAGAGGTCACAAGTTCAAATGTTGTGAGTAACATTCCCATATAAGCATTAAGATAATAATATATTGAGACAATTAGTTTAATCAGATCAGTGGTTCATAGCAAAAATAGCAAGGTTAATTAGTTGTGAGAGAGCTATGCTTTGAGACAATTTAGTTATTTTTATCAAACTCTTGGAAATTCTGAAAGTCTTACTCCATATTAATTTGGTTGTCGACTCATCTTTGTCGATGCAAGGAACTTTTTTTCAAACAAACACTTAGTTGATTGTCTGTTAGAGTTGATTTATAATGGAAATGAGTGTTGAAATGCATTTTTGTGTTAAAGGTGCTAAAATGAGTGAAAGAGAGAGTTGCATCATATTTTCGGGTGCCATTTTCTTCAAATAATTCTGAAAAGTAAATTTCAATTAAATATTTTCAGATTTATCATTTACGCATCTCAAGAATTTATTTTTACCGAAGACTCCAAAATTCTAGATTTTTTTTTAGATTTGAAATATTTGTGGTAGGAAATCTAAGAAGCGATTTTTCCACGCATCAAAGTAGGCATGGCAATGGGTCGGGGCGGGGCGGGTATTGCAAGACCCGGACCCACCCCGTGACCTGCACGGGTCCAAACTTGTTGACCCATGACCCGCCCCATGCGGGGCGGGGCGGGTCCGACCCGCCCCGCCGCGACCTAATTAGCTAGTATGTATTTTTATTTATGGGAAATTGTTACCAATTGAATCTACATAATGTTTATCTCTAAATAATAATTAAAAATCAATATATTAAATCAAATTCATGATTCGCTAAAAATTTCAAAAATTAAGGAAAAATTACTCAAACTTGAATAGTTAATCTAATTAGTTATATTAATAATTGAATATATGTATTAAAATTCTATAAACTCCGTATAAAGAAGACATTGATAATCTGTCGTGCATCTCATTCTAATATATATTCATATATTATAAGATCAAAGAATTTATGATTTATTGTATACACACATATGTATGTTGAAGTATATATTTGTTGTATAATTTAAGAAAAAGTATGTATACTTATATATTGAGCGGGTCGGGGCGGGTCGGAGCGGCACAGGTCAATTCTAATACCTGGACCCGTCCCATTGTATAAGCGGGGCGGGTCTGCCCCGCCCCGAATGTCTCGGACCGGGGCGGGTCATTGCGGGTCGTTTTTTTGACATCCCTACATCAAAGGTGTTTTTACTGAAAATTGCCCTTTAATGAGTCATATTCCACACAGAGTCATCTTTCCTTAAAAAGCGTGAAGTCAAATATAGGTAAATTATTGGTAAATCATGTGCCAGAAAAGTCAAAATTTCCCTGACTTCTACGGTGTTTAATTACCTTTTCTTTGAACAGTGACAACGGCCGCCGGAGGAGCCACCGCAGTTGCCGGAAAGGTTATTCTCCGAGGAGCTACATTTTCTCTTCAAACAAAACGATGACCGAGGAGGCTTCCCGGCGGAGGAGCCAAGAGAGAGATCGGTCATCTGAAAAGCAGAGGAGGAAGAAGAAGCCTGTTTGCTCTCGGTGACTGTCTCTCCGGTCAACGACGACAGATTGAACGAGTGGGCACGGGAAAACACCGGCAAGTAAGAGACTCTGACACCCTTCCCGGCGGAGGCGACGCCGTCCTTTCTCGGAGGCGGCGGGAGGTCGAGGACAGAGGGCGGCGGCAGAACCTGCTGAATTGGCGTCGGGCTGTAAACAACCGTGTCGTCGACGGCGGTTTCTGTACCCGGAGACGGCGACGAGGAAGCGACGGGGGCTCTCCTGAACCGGGCGTGGCCGGTCCGGGTCTGACCGAGAAGACTAATCATTTTCTGGAACTTATTAACAGCGACGCCGGTGACCATTTCAATCTCCACGGAAGAGGATTCTTTATTTTCCGGCGGCCGGCGAGACAGCAATCTGAGAAGCTTCTCAACGCACTCCAGCCCAGACGCAGCCTCTCTCGCCACTGCACTTTCGTCAAATTTCTTCGCAAAGCTGAGATTATCATCCCCATGCCTGTAATCCATCATCAGCTCAACCGCCATGGCTGGCTGCTCTGTTTAGAAGAAATGAGAGGAAGAAGGAATGGGATTCGAGAGAAGAGTCAAAGTGATGCCATTTTGCCGAGGTTAAATTAAAGAAGGGAAGAGAGATCGAGGTGGTGATAAAGTAGAGATTGGGTGAATAGTCTGTCAGCGCTGGGAAATCTGGATCGTTAAATCTGACTTTGCATCACATCAGACCGATGGTATGACTTTGTTTTTGTTCTGCTTTTGCTTTTGTTTGCTGGAGCTGGGTCAGATTGTAAAAATTGCAAAATCAGTTTTTGTACTCTTCTATTCTTATATTGACTCCCCTTTCCACTTTTTATAAATTGAAAGGGAGAATTTTCAATTTTCATGGACGGTAAAAAAAATATTCAGTCAAAAAAAATGGACGGCAAAAAATATTTGACAATTTCAAATTGAAATAGTCCTTTCCTCTGGGAAATGTTCACAGTTTTTTTTGGAAAACTATCATTTAATCCTCAAACTTTAAAAAGAATCAATCAAATTCCCAAACTTTGAAAAAATGTTCAATTGAGTTAATTAGCAGGTTACTCGACATGTTAGTATGTCACTCGCTGACGTGGCGCACACGTGACGGCCCAGGTGTGTGGAAGTCATCGACAAATGGCTATCTAGGATTACACATGTGCGCCACATCAGCAAAATCAATGCTAACTCGGCTGCAACATGTGTACCAAGTCAACATGTGCGTCGCTGACATAATAGGTAACCAATCAATGGACTCAATTGAACGTTCTTATAAATTTCGAGGATTTGGTTGATTTTTCTTTAAAAGTACAAGGACTTAAGTGACTCTTCCGTGATAATAAATGACAATCAACTTTGATTAACGTAAAAATTAGAAATAGGGATATCAAAATAAAAGTAGTGAATAAAATTGAGATCTATATGTTTATATCATGATATATTTCTACGCCTCAAATTGATTTACAATTTTGGGATTTTATATGTTCAGAAACTACAATTAATGTCTATATAATCGTAAAGTTTAATTTCGAGTGTAAAAATTGATATTCTAAATAAGTGAAGAAATCAAATCTTATTGATCAAGAAAAGTAAAATAAAAAAATCATTTTGGGAAAGCGAGAGAAGCATGAGTCTTTCGAGAAATTTGTCCATATGTGATTTTAACATTTATGGATTTCCGATATATGACTAACAAATTTAAACATGTTTATATATCACTGATAATTAAATTAGAAGGAGAAAATGTAGCATTAAAACATATACGGAGTATATATTCAAAAGACCATTGATTATTTATGGGTTAAAAACCAGCTTAGTCATATTTTGGAAATTATTTCGTTTGATCATATATTCCTAGTAAATTTTTTTTTGAAATTATAGTTATATTCATACTATACCGCAGCGATATATTTATAGCAATTTACGCAAACCTTTATTCCTAAACTTGATTTTTGTACTATGTAATACTTTCTTCGTTCTTTTTTTAATTCCAACCGTCCATTTTTCTCGTTTGTCAACGCACATGTTTGAATATTAATAACTTTCATTCCTTATCAGTAAAAAAGTAAAAAATTCAAATTTTTTGAAAATTTAAAATGAGAAGAATTTAAAAATATTTTTAAAAATTTAATATATAATACATTAATAAATACTACCTCCGTCCAGAAAAGGTTTGCCATATTTTCTTGGTCAATGATAACAAACTTTGGACAATAATTTTAATTATTATATTTGTATATAAATTATAATTTTTATACTTTTATGAAAATATTTTGAGTAAGAAGCATTTGATATAATTTTCATATTCAAAAAAACTTTCGTACTAAAAAATACTACCCCCATCCCGTTGGAAGGTTTCCATAGCAAAACATCACGGTTATTTAGACAATAATTAAATATTTATTATAATTATTTTGAGTATATTTTGAGAAATAATTTTAATAGGTATATATTATAACAATGTAGTTAGTATTGATAACTGTGATGTTATAAATTTATTATTTTTAAGATTTAATGATTAATTTGTCATTTAAGATTGTGAATTATTTCCTAAAAAGAAAATGTGAACCTTTATATGAGACGCTCAGAAAAGGAAAATGAGAACCTTCTAAAGGGACGGAGAGAGTATCATTGGATTCATTGGTCAAAGCATGGCCGGTTCTAGGGGGAGGGCAGCAGGGGCGATCGCCCTAGGCCCGAAAAAAAGTAGAAAGAAAATTAGGCCCAACTTTTTTTATTTATAATTTCAATTAATTAATTAGGCCTAATGTGTAATTTTTGTTGACAATTTGAGAATTTTAAAATATAAGTAAAAAGTCTTGAACATAGCTAGACAAGTTTTTAAAAAGAATATAAATTTAGTTTTAATTTTTAAATAGAGTTGGTTGTAAGTCAACACATTTGTTTTTGAATCAATAAAAACACGTCTATTCACATCTTTTTAGCCTTTAAGATTTTTTATTCTTTTAATTATAAAATTACCAATTTATATTAATGTCTTTGGGCTGTCGGTGCCTCCCAATTCTCAAACATCATCCCAATTATCAATGATGCCTCAAAAAACTTAATGGATTAACAATTTTAAACATTGCACATGTGATCTTGGAAAAGATTGATTATAAAGCAATTATTTATGATTTCACTTCACAATGTTCTTTTATGATATGTGTGTTGTTACTTTTGTCCAAATATGCAATTCAAATAATATGAAGGTGAATTTCATCTTTATTTTTATAACCTTTATTAGATAGTTGTAGGGAGAATTCCTGAAATAGGGGTATTTTTTTTGAGAATTTTAAAATAGGACTGTCATGTGTTTATTTTCTGAATATGAGTAATTACTATCATGTTCGGAAAATACTACCATGTGTAAAATATGGCACTGCCAAAATATGACATTAATTACTTTTATTTAGAGAATAAAAACATGATAATCTTATTTTAGAATATACAAACGTTTTTAGTCGTATTTAGAGTAATTTCTCCTAGTTTTATTATACTTCGTAATTTTTACTTTAAGTAAGTACGGAGTATAATTTACGGTTTGTCTTGGAAATAAGGCCAAAATAGTATATCGCTCATAGGCCCAAAACGGGACAAGACCAGCCCTGGGTCAAAGTTGATTGTCATTGATCAAGAAAAGTTAATTTGACGAATTTTTTTTTTTTGGAAAGGAGGGGGTAAAATATAATCAAACTAGAATATAGATTAAAATTAGTCAAAATATTTTTTATGTAAAACATATGCGGAAAAATAATACGGAGACGGAGTATGTAATTAGTGGCCTGAAGAACTTTCAAAAAAAATGTGGCCTGAAGACTTGACCTTTTATGGGGAGGGGTGAGACCGGAAAGCGAGAGAAATTTGTTGAGTATGAGGGGATGAGGTCAAAGAAGGGCCTCAATCACGAGAGAGTGGTGTTGATTTTTGTATGATTGGATTGTTTGTCTCCCCAGCACTCATCAGTCCTTGTGGTCCCATTGGTTGACCACAAAGTCCAGTGTCTTTTTTTCCACCTGATATTACCGCTCAACCCACAAATTTCATGTATCATCAATTGTCCAATAAAAAAAAAGTTACCCGATCCAACCAATTACAGTTACCGGCCGCCAATTACAATTATCCGACTAATAACAGTTACCCGATCCGTCAGTTACAGTTACTCGACCTAACCAGTTATAATTACTTGATATATAAGTTACAGTTACCTGAACAGATCAGTTACAGTTATTGACTAAATATCTTTACCCAATCCAACATTGTAGTTAAACGGTAAACCCGGTTACAATTACCCGTTCGAATTTGACCGGTGCTAGCCACCACCGCCAGGTAACACCGCCGCCAGGGCCGGTCCCGAGAAAACGAGGGCCCTGTGCAACAACAAAAATCAGGCCTTTCTTTTCTATCGTTAATAGAAATGCTATTTCAATTGAAATGGTAAATTGTTAATACGGAGTAGTTGTAATTTATTAAAAGATTATTTCAAAACAGAAGTTGCTAGTATTAACTAGAAGTAATAAATCCAATAAAAAAATTATTTACGTATAAAGTTATATAGTGAAACAAAAACAAATTTAACAGCCTAAGAACCTATTAATATCATTTTGTTGAACTCAGATTACAAAATTAATTCATAAAGAACCATTACTCTATTAGTTACGAATTTATATACCTAGAATAGTGGAGTCCTTCCGTCCTAGATGTGTCTGAATCGCCGCAGCAACTTAGAAATCAGGATGGCTCGAGGCTGTAGCAGAGCCTGGAGACGGAGAGTCGTCCGCACGTCGCTCGTCTCGCTCAGTCACTCGTATGCCCTTTGGCCTTTGCGCTTCCTCTTTCACAGATTGTTATGCTCGTCCCGCACCTTTTTGTTCGCTATTGGGCTGACTAGCTTATACGGAGTAGTAGACTAGTAGTAATACTACTACTAATTTATTTTTTTGGGCCTTCCATATTTTTGGGCCCTGTGCGGTCGGACACCCTGCACACCCCCTGGGCCGGCCCTGACCGCCGCCTGCCGCCGTTTGCCGCCGCATACTGCTGCCGACGCCCTTCGGCAGGGCCGCCACCACAACAGTCCCCTTCCCAGCCCCCATCCCTCGCACACAAATCAGCTCAGACCCTAAAACCGCCTCATCCCACCACCATCGCCGCTCCCCGATGATAGTTAAACACATATTCAAGTATTTTCTTAACCATGAAGTCATAAGGAATACTTTTGTTCAAAACGTAAAGATAACAACGGTGTAAATTCAAACCAACAAAAGGACACAGAGTTTTTTAATAATAAGAACACATGTACTGCAAACAATGCATTTACCCTATTTTATGGGGTGTGCTTATAAACAAAAATTTAAGGAAATTGTAGCATTAAGCCAAGTTGTACACCTAATATTTACAACACACGGGATTTAGGGAACTTTAGAAATAACATATGCTGTGTTTGTAAACACAAACTTGGAGAAAACATAATACATTAACTAATTTATAATACACCATAACAAAGATGAACTACACATACTGCCTAATAATGCCCCCAACATTAACCTTGCAAATCTTATCGAACCAAATGTCACTTCACACCTTTTAACACGTGCATAATCAGATTGTGTATCACGCATTACTCTTACAGAATCAGGCGGGAACAGATTTTTTCGATTCCACTTTTATATATATAAAGATTACCCTATTCCAATATGCCATCTCTTCAAAATTCAAATAGTGAACTAGGCCAATATGTTACGCCATCTCTTCAAAATTCAAATAGTGAACTAGGCCAATCCGTGGCCACATGCGTGGAGCCGTGCTTTTATAAGCAAATGGGATGGACAGGAGGACCCTGTTAGCTCCAATTATGCCCAATCTAGAAGTTCCTTTTATTGCTTATTAATTAATTTTACATTAAATACATAATTATTGATAAAAAACAATACTGCCTTCGCTCCCAAAGCAACTTCTTACTTTCCTTATTTGAATGTATCAAAATAAACTTACATTTCCATATAAAGTAACTTTTCAATATAAAATAGAGTATCAAAACTATTTACTTTTTTACATGATTTGACATAAATTAAAATAGTCGTTAGAAAATCAACTTCTGAGGTGGAGATATATAGTAATATAGTAGCACCATATAATTTTTGAGACAAAATCGTGATTGAATCTTAGCACGTACAATTAAAGCATTAGTGGACTATTCAATAGTTCGGGATTAAGCCCTATGCAAATCCATTTAGCAATGCATTCCACTATGAAATACCTCAATACTACTAGGAAGATATGTGATAAAAATTCACTAATTTCTATAAAATGAATCCATTTTCAATCACGAAGTCTTATAAAAAAGAAAGAAATTGGAAACTCAATGTTTTCCGAAACACTAATTAGTTTGGGGAACAAGTTTCCTGTTGCTTCTTATTTACGGATATGGTCTAGATACAGGAATTGAAGTTTCTGAATTTCCCATATACTTGTGAGTTTCCGCAAAGGGGAAACATGAACAAAGGAAGTTATCCGGCTTCATAGTGTTTTGGAAATGGTAACTTAGTCACTTGCTATAGCAGGTAATCCTTGGTAAACTAAACGGCTGGTGTCAGGGAGTTCTCTCAGGTATTTCAATACAGAATTACATTGCAACAAGCCAACAAGTAACTAAGTAGGGACTCCCTTTCAAATCAGAGTTACACCTCGAATATTCCATGGGCATAAACACTAGTTTATGAATGTGAACCTAGCTACTAGATTATTATAGTATTATACGAAGTACATTTTTTTTATACGTAGTAAATCAATTAGACCTAATGGGTCAGCCTAAGTTTTCTGAAAGCCTCTATATCTTATGCAAGATGCCAGTGTGAAGCTGATCTGGTAAAGGCAGTAAGGTAATTATTATACAGAGCTTTGGAGAACCTCAAATTCCATGTTGCTAAAGCCATTAGTTTTTCACCAGTTTATAGCAGTCTCCAGCTTGTAGAGACTAGGGATGGACCCGGGCCGGGCCGGTTCCGGTTCCGGGCCGGGCCCGGGCGGGCTTTTTTTTCGGGTTACATGGGCCCGGAACCGGCCCGGGTTGATACCGGGTCCGGGCCTAACCGGGCCGGGCCGGGCCGGGCCCGGTTCAATGTTTTTTTTTTTTTTTACTTTCTTGTTATCTCCCTACCCCCCCCCCCCCCCTCACCCCCATGCCCCAAACCTCCCTAAAACATCCAGCCCTACCCTAGGAAAAGAAAAAAAATTGAAAAAACCAAAAAAAAAAAAATGAACCGGGCCCGGCCCGAACCGCCCGGGCCGGTTCAACAAAAATAGGGCCCGGAACCGGCCCGCCCGACCCGCCAACACGGGCTAAAAGCCCGGAACCGGCCAACCGGGCCCGGTCCGGTCCGGGCCCGCACAGTAGCGGGCCGGTCCGGTTCCGGGCCGGTTCGGCCCGGCCCAGTCCATCCCTAGTAGAGACTAGAGATAATGCAGCCTTTATGGAAGTAGAGAAGCCTGCCTTGAAAAGTAATTGTGAATTAATCCTTCCCCAACACAGTATGTTAGACATGAGGTGACAGAGATATTGACCTTCAGTGAGCAGGTTTGCGTTTAAGCATGAAAGAGTCCTGAGAAAATAACTTTGGCACTTGAACTTCTTGGGAAGAAGACACACTTGATTAAGAACTGCATGCATGCTACCAGGCTTGGAGTTAGGCTTGAGCACAATCAGTACATAACTTCTTGTATACTAAGCACTATATTTTCCATAAAAACCAAGCTCTAATTCCTGGCAGTACTATCTTAAAAACACCTGCCAAGGACTTGTTAGAGGAGGATAACCACCAGGCAGAGAAACACAATGTGTGTATAAAGGAGCCTTTTGAGTGATCTAATGCAGTAATGCCCGTTCTACCCAAAAGATACAAAAACTCAAAAGCAAAGTTCTCTGAGAAACCAACATCAATATTTGCACTCAAATTTCTTCTTTCAGACTGGAGTTAGAACTTAGAACCCCTCATTTACACATTTTTCTAACTTGAAGACTCAAATACTATTCGTTTCAAAATGGAGTGCAGGCTCAAATGTGATGTGGATGACAAAGAGAGATGCAAACTCTAATTACACTTGCAAAGAAAAAAGATCAGCAAAACGCAGTATGATATAATAATGTTTGTTTTAGGTGTCCAACACATCACAAAGAAGTTCGCAGTAATTATACGTGCATGTACATGATAAAACTAATTAATATACCACCAAAAGAGTTACAGCATGTTCGAAGAGAAAATGAGAAATTACAGGGATGCGTCCATCATTTTCTTTCTTATTGAAATATGACATACATGTACTATATAACTATATAAGTGGTATATACATGTACGGAGTAAAATATATACACACAAGTTGAAGAAGAATACAATTTGCACATAAAGGACATTGATGTGCTCCACACAGATTGCACTCATGCCTTCCAAAGAGCAACGCCATCCGTAGGAGTAACACTCACTCAAGCAATGACTGGGTACGAAGCACAAGTTGCGATACCTGCAACCACAATAATTAATAATGAGATAAAAGGTACAACAAATCCTCCATCCAATTTGAATAAGCAACAAATGCAAATTTTAACAGATAGAATAAATGTATGGCGCATTTCCCTCCGATTCTTAATTACCACACATATTCTTTCCCATCTCCATTTTGAAGTACCCATGGTCACCCCATTTTTCTCCCCACGAGTTCTTAATGAGCCAATATGGGATTCCATTTTCCACTCCATATCCCACTGCCAGAACTGCATGGTTCACATCCTACCAAAAACAGCAGAGTAAAATAAATAAATAGTTCTATTACATTATGTAAACTGAATATCCTAGCAAATTCTTTATGAAATAATAATAATAATAATAATAACAGTACTATAACGAAACGCATGTTTAGAAATGCAACCGCCTTATGTGCAGCGATAATTTCCTTGGCGCATAATTATTATTTGTTAGAAGAAACAGCATAAAAAAACTTGCAAGCACTTATTTACTAAGATCGAATTACGTTTCATGCTCATGACATGAGGCAAATGACTTTTTGAGGTGAATATGGAGAAAACTTCCCAAGTTACTTCTTCACTTTTCTCAATACTTATTTTGTAGATATAATTTTCAATTGACATTGTTCACAGTGCTATTTACCGATAGCATTCCCAGAAGTAGCTGCTCTATTCTAAGGATAGAGATAAGGTCTGCATACATCTAATCCTGAACTTTACTTTTGAGTAGAATATCCTCGATATTTTAGATTGGTTTTGCTGGTTAATGAATAGGCCAATATGGCATAGCCGCATAGGCGAAAATGTTTAATCAAATGGTATGAATAGGCCAAAATCATCTCGTATTCCTTCTGGCAAACCCTTGGGTATGTCTGAGTTTTGAAAAAAACTTACCATGGGATTCTTCCCACAAACGGTGCTTGTGTAAACTCCGCTCTCATATAATTTGAAACCAGAAACAACCTCATACGCAATGCTAACTGGCCGTACTAGCCCAACTGCATATTTTAGTTCATCTTCAGCACCCTGCAACATATTACAGAAATACAAACTATTGGGTTTAGCATGAGAGAAAAGAAGTAGCCAAGAAAAGCGAGCAGGACACATTATTGAATTGAAAAGAAATAAAACAGAAGGATATCATCTTACCAAGGTGATATTAACTGAGTCAATGACTTTCACAGCAACATTGTTTGAAGAGAACTTGCACACGGCATCTTCTCCAGTGTACGGATATGCTTCCTCTGTGTCAAGACCGCCGTTGAATTTGATATACTCAAAGGCTTGTGATGGCAAACCACCATTGCAACCAAAATTGTTAAAAGCTCCAGCACAATCAACAAGCTGCTGCTCTGACAGGGAAATATTCTTCCCGAATGCTTGAGCATAAGCTGCTTCTAGAGCTCCAGTGGTGCTGTTACAGCACGTCAAATTTTAAGGCCATGAGTTCTCAACCCCAACAATGCAATTAATTTGGAGTCCAAAAACATTTGGAGTTTTAAGCTAAAGTCATACATTATTTTCCAAACACAATTCTCACCTAAAAGTCCAACAAGATCCACAATCGCCTTGATTCTTCACTGGGCTAACTATGCCAGCTTCCCTCCAGTCTTTCTTAAGAATAGAAAGCAAATAAATAAACCATGTCAACAAAGAATCGCAAAACAGTTCTATAAAAGGTACATTAGGCATCAATTCCTAAAATCCTTCCTACACTGAGTTCTTTTTCCTTTATGACGGGAGAAGCTTACCAGCAACTACCAACTAAACGCTTGCATGACTTTTAGTATAAATAGAGAAGCAAACTTGCAGTAGACAGTAGGTTTCTTCTGGAAAGGAGAATATATTAGAATTCTATTGGCTACAAGAGCAATGCCAACTTTTCATCTATGACGGCTTGTGGTGCTTATGAAGAAAGAAGCCGATTTGTTAGTCGAGACCAATTATGTTCACCTCTTCATTGTCCTGATTTCTTTTCACTTATTTTTGTTATTATTTTGTCTGTGCACTATATTTTGAATTGGAGCATGAAAACTAATAATGGATTTCATAATAATAACAAACACAATAGTAACAATCACAGTAACAATAATAATAAGAATTTGATTGAGAATACCGTCTCTGGGACGATGGCACTTGAGATCTTAAGATTGCCTTTTAAGGTAGCAGAGCAGTTTTGAGAAGCTCCTAGTCTATGTTTACGGAACTCATCCCATGTCATATCAGCAAACTCTATTAAATGCAAAACCAAAGGATTCAACTGAATTAGTTTGAAATGTAAGAATCTTATTTATTTCTTACTAGGATTGCGATTAAACAGCTAATATGCTACATAGTACTAATATTAACTCCGGTTGACAAGGCAGTTAGCCAGCTAGTGACGATTTCTACTCTCTCCTTCCCAATATGGCACGTCCCATTTTCCATGAAAAAGTTCATATCAACCGTCTCACCATTCCTGGTTTTCTAATAAGAGTCCCACCACCTTGTTTTTCTTTTTTTGGGGAATATTGTCTTTTCGCCAATCTTCTCAAAAGAGAAGCACCTTATCATTTAATTTTATTTTATTTTTCTAGCTAGTTTTCATTCTTTCATTTTTCCTTTTTATCATGTTCCCTTGTCCACCCCATTTAAAAGAGACTTTCTTCTAATAGAGCCACAAAAATGAATGGACTCACCAAAATTTTATCTCCCAATTTTAATGGCACCAAAGTGTGGGCCCTATGAAAAATAACAATGTTTATGACGAATGGATGAAAAAATAAATGAATAATGACATGATCCATACAAAGTGTTTGCTTGTGAGGGCTTTCAATTATTTCTCAGTAAAATTTGAACTTACAAATTAGAATTTGGGCTAGTTTATAAAGATAGTTGGATAGAGGGAAATTACATGCAACTATGAATGTTTTTAATTGGTCTGATCTTATATACTATCGTATTTTATAACTATCGAAGTCTGATCTGATTTGTTTAAGTTTGGCCTGAATTGGAATAATAATGTTTTTACTTGGACTGTTTTTCAGTCCTAAATAAGATCAGATCAGACTAAACTCAAACAGTTATGAAATACACGGAGATCAGAGTGACAGATCAGACCAGACGAATTCAACTAGATCAGACCAGAAAATTGCAGTAAAATTAAAAACGTAAGTCGGTCCAAGTAAACACATGCAATAAACTGGATTCCCCTCTATTTGCACATGCTGAATACGAAGTACTCCGTATATTTTTTTTAACAAAAAGGACAAATACCATTAACTCCAAGCTTGTATGGAAGTCCTTTTTTGTTATGGGATCTAATTGTCCTCAAACTCTCCTTAAAGACACCAAAACGCTGAATGATCTCCGCAGCACTCTCATATCTCTTCCCATACCTGCAAAATTTTGAGGATGTAAACCGTCAGTAAACTTAACCTTCATACTTGAATTTTACTATATATACATACATAGAGAGAAGTCCTGAAATCAAAACCTGTGAGCAAAGCGAGCAAAGGAGAGAGCGTGACGCGTGGAGCCGATGATTGAGACAATCGGGCTTTCCAGCTCGTGCAATCCGTCCAATACGACTTGCCTGATTGGATTATCATCAGAGAAGGTACTCGACGACCCAGAGACGGAGGCGATGACAGCTAAAACCAGGATGACGAAGATCGAAGCTCCGGCCATGGATATGGTTCTATACTAGAAGCAATAAGTTAGGCCTACTCGCACATAGCAACCGAAGAAGAATATTTATTACAGTAGTCAACAATGATTGGTGTCTACCTTCGATTTTGGACGCAACATGTTTTGATACAAAGGTGGGCTAGGGTTCATTAGCGGTGGTCAGGGCTAGGTTGGGCTGTCAAAGGTGGGCTTGGGAGGGGTGGATTGGGGTTGGTTAGGGTGGTCGGAGATGTGCGGCAAAGATTGAGTGGCTAAACGGCTGGATCTGGGCTGTGGTTGCACGGGAGGGGGCTGGGGGCAGAAAAGGGGGCTGGGGAGGGGGTTGGGGGCAGAAAAGGGGGCTGGGGTAGTAGGGGATGGGTCTAGGGTAAGGGCGTAGGCAATCTCACGCAATGGCGTTGGTGTCAGGCGGAAGGTTGATTGATGGTTTCCAGCGAAGATTTTGATGCGAAAAGTGGTCGGAAAATTTTCCGGCGACATAGTGACACACTTTCCGATGTAGTGACATTTAAAAGTGACCTGAAAATCCATAGTTACATTTCAAAAGTGACATAAAAATCTGGTAGTGACATATAACAGTGACATAAAAATTCGACAGTGACATAAAAAATGACAGTGACATCATGTTTTCCAAATATGTGACCTTCTTGGTCACTTTTTGTACTTTTATAAAAATGGTCACTTTTTTGGAAATTGGCTTTAGAGATCTAACTTCATTTAATTAGATCCCTAAATTAATTCTGAATATTTTATGTTGCTAATGTTTTTTAATTATTTTATTTATACTTATTGTCTTTATTCTCTTTTTGTAAATATTTTATTTATAGATTGTTATTAATATTATAAGAAAGTGAAAGAGAGTCCCTTTGTGCATTAGTGAAGAGAGTCCCTTTGGTCATCAGCTAGGGTTTAGAGCCGCACAAAGTCATCGGCGTCTGAGTTTTATTAGTTTTTTCAACGAGAGAGCAGCGCAGAGATTGAGGGAAACGCAACAAGTGAGATGCAAACCTTGACTGATAGAAACAAGGATAGACATGTTCCAATTATGATGAAGGGCGATGCAAGAGACAAGAATAGGCCAGAGATAGGAAGGGATGACGATGAACCAGGTAGACGAAATATTGACGGTTTGTCCCCCTCATGCGCTCTTGTGCTATATCTTTCGTTCAAATTTTATTTTTTGATATCTTGTACTTTTTTACTTGGTTAATAATTTGGTGTTGTGGGTGCTTTTTGTTGTGAGGTTGAGTGGAAGTAATCAGACTAATTTGGTCAATAATAGTAGTTTCAAAACTATCGCATGTTCAACGATTAGTCTCGCTCATTTTTTGGATAGTCTATTATGTATCTAATCAGGGACTGAGGAGGGGACCTGTTGGCTATATAGAATCTAGATGGGAGACTTGGTCTATTGATGATGTTGGTATTTTTTATTCTATGAATTAAGATAAGCTTTTTTCTTTACAAAAATGTTATTATTAATTAGATTTCTACATAATCTTTGATTTTAATTAATTATGGAGTTATTAAATGTTTATTTATGACAATAATTTGTCTCTTCTTTTGACTCCAAATAAATGGATATTTTATTTCCACCATATCTCTTTAAATTATTTTTGCTGAAAACAATTAGTCTAAGAAGTAATCTTATCTATTCAATGTATAAAACTGAAAACAAGATATAAACTTGTTTAATTTAAGCGATACACTTATATATATGATAAATAATGGTTAGCAAAACACTAATTAAAATAAAATTACCAAATAGACATTTCTTTGGTCTCTGAATATTCTTATTTGATGAAGAATTGAATATTCTTCGACTCTTCGTATCATTTTATATTATTCATAAATAATTATGATGACTATTCTACAATTTATCTTTACTCTCTCTCCAGAGTACGTGATATCCGTAATTGTTTAAAAAATCATTAATCCTTTTATGAATAATAGATTGTTTCTCTACCGAGAGTTCATAAATATGGCGTGTTTAAAATGCACAACAGTAATCATGGGTGGAGCTAGGGCACCTTAGTAGGTCCCGACTCATCCTTGCATCGGTTCAACTCAATTCGCACCCCTTGTATATTACGCCACTTAATTAACTATAATGAGGGGATGCCCCTTTTGGAAATAGTGGGGAAATAATATGTTTAAACTATTTTTCGTAAGTTAATCTACGTAAATATGATATGTATATACGGATTTAAACAAATAGTTTAGGTAACGTGTAAGAGTTAAAGAACTAACAAGAAATAATAAGAGTTATGAATATATTGATGAAGAGTGTGATCCCTAGTTTTCGTGAGTAAGAATGTTTGTGTGCTTGCATTAGGTGCTAATCTTTAATCTTTAAAGCTTATAATTGTCAATGCCAGTTAGGGTATTTTAGGGATGAAAAATGTGTTGGTGTAACATCAAGTAATATGCAGTTGTACCACACGGGCTAGGCATTGTACATTTACTTACTGTTAGCAGCTTTATCCGTTTATCCGTCTAACGTATGATTTTGTCGTTCCGTTAATTCAACTTTTGTCGCCGACTTCTACACCATCCAATACTTCAATCCCTTCCATGTCTCTCTTATTTGAACTCCACCGATTCATATTTGATACATCAGCTTGTTACGGAACGTCACCCACAATATAGGTTGTTCATATGGAAGCTCACAACGGCAGAAGGGTTTGATGCTCAGTTACGATGTTATAAGGTACGCTCCTTTCCTCCTTCTATTGCTTTGAGTGCATTTGTTTTTGGATTGTCAAATTAAATGTGTAATCTCTAATTCCTATTTACCTATTCGTTTCAGTTTTTGGAATCCATGTTTATGTGTTTAGTTCTTGGAGTTGTTGGTCGTACAAGGTAGATAAAGGGGAATTGAAACAATGCAAGTTTTGTTCTGCCTTTCAATTATGTTGTTGTCATTTAATTTGTTTTTTAAGTTATTAGATCTATAAATTGTACACGTTATTATTTTAACAAATTGTAGTGCACATTTTCGTCTATAATTAAGATTAAGATGTTGCAGGCTGGATAAGGAAATGCTCACTAAGTGTTTGTTAAATGGTATAAACCAGATTCATTACACCAATTTGTGGAAGCTTTGGTCCTTGTCTATGCCACATATTCATGATTAGAGACAAAAGGTTACTCCTCCGTCCCGCAAAATAGTTCATGGTTTCCTTTTTGGGACGTCCCAAAAAATAGTTCACATTTCTCCTTTTGGAAAGTTTTGTGTGGCGGCTCACATTCATTTAAAATTTTCTTATACAATCACAACCATACATTTTCACTTTATTCCCACTTTCTTAAACCTCGATCCAAGTCAATGCGGGAACTATTTTCTGGGACGGAGGGAGTATTATTATTTTTATTTCTTTTATCTCGAGTAGAAGTTATTTGGTTCTAACGATTCCATATCTGGCATAGCCTATATATAATTACTTTTTCCTCTCTTATGGAGATAAACAATCAGTTAAGTTATGATTAATTGATTACTTAATACGGAGTAACACTTTTTCTTCATAATCCCACACAAACTATTTTTTTGAGAGCCCACAAAAACAATTTTAAGATTTCTTTTGGGTCAAAATAGAAAAGAATAGGGATTACTGAAAAGTTCTGGCTAGATTACAATTTCAGTAATTCATTTTTGGAAACAACTTAGTGTTCACACAAAAAGTTATCTGCATTATTTGAGTTTGCACACAATTGATACACCAAAATCATTAAATATATATTCTCTTCAGCTTAATAATATTTATTTTATGAAAGGTAATGCTAATTATTTGTTACTCTTCCATATTATTATTATTTAAAAATTAATGTATTTTTATTTACCTGTAGACTTTTACAAGAGGACATCTTTGATATAAATTATCAATAGTTATGTCCACTTTGTCATATTGATAAACTATCAAGTAAATAAATTTACTTGAGTTTTAACACTATTATGATTGGTCTGAGTGTCTTGATTCCTTCCATGAATCAACCACATCATCATTATAATAAAATTAATATAACACATATGCTCTGAGAAAAGAGTCACTTCCTAAAGCTAGATTTTAGAAGTATGGGATTGAAGTTACAAAGGGTTGTACTGTCACAAGTTGCTCTAAATTTTTTCAAACTTTCATGTCTACAAAGTTTGGCCGGGGAAATGGTTTGGGCCATTTTTCTCAGTGTGTGATGTATGATTTAAAAGGAGATGAAGTAGATGGAGATGTATCACATATGATCAGAACAAGGTGGACGAAGAGTCATCAAGATTTCTAAAGCCATGTAACTAGAAAGAGGGAAAAATGTCAAATATGTCCTTTAACTATTTTTTTACCATCACTTAAACTCATATACTATAAAAACATCATATAAAATACACTTTAAAAAAATTTGACCAATTTGACCATTTATTCAGTTTTTGACCCATAATAGCAGGATTTTATATTAAAACGGTAAAAAATTATTAAAATTTGTGGAAATATAGACAAAAATTGTAAAAATTTTGAAAATTTGAAATTATTTGAATATTCCACATTTATTTAAATGACTTTTACATTTTATATTTTCTATTTTTATTTTCACTTTTTTCAGAATTCTGATTTTTTAATGTTTTAAAACTATTTATATATTTTCACATTGAGAGTTTTTCATCATTCGGGTCCTATACCGATATATTTCATCTTTCAGGTCCCAGATTGATAATTTGTCTATCTTTCAGGTCCTGGAATTATAAAATTCATTTATATTATTGTGACATTATTTTTCAATTATATATAATTTTTTATAAGATCTATATATTAATACTCCTAATTACTAGGTATTATTTTTTAAAAAGAACCTACTAAAGCAAGTCAAAATGGCTTGGTTGATTATGTTTAAAAAGTAAGTGTTTTTATATGGTGCTTTCTTTAGTAGAAGGGCTGAAGTAATAAATTAGAAATATACACAATTAATTTCATCATGTTCCAACCTACATGTGTAAAAATCCTATGTACATAGCAATTGTGCATAAAGAGAATGTATATGATATTTTATTGAAAAAAAACATTGGGCATTAACCCAATCGCGCAACGCGCGTCACAAAAACTAGTGTTATTTATAAGTGTCCAAATATTATGCTCAAAGCTTGATGTTTGTACAATTTTAATTGAGAATCAAATTTCTAGTAGAGATTCATGCAAGGAAATTCTAAATTTACAAGAGTTTTGAACCTGACATGCAAAAATACAGGAATTTCACTTCAAGTATGAAATAACAAGATGAACATTGTTTTCTGACCAAACTATTTGGAATGGTGTATTCCGACCAAGGGTGGAAGGAGAGAAATGGGTGAGGGTGAAGCAAAAATTAAAATCCCAATTTTACTGTGTTATAACTTTTTTTATTTGTGCTCCAACTCTTATATACTCTGTATCAAAATTCATAACTTTTAATATATTTAATATAACACTAATATTGCATATATACAAATTTTCTTTTTGAATTTGAAATTTCAATCGTAGGAGGTTTTCGGTTTCAAATTTTTCATACATAGATCCAAGTGCTAAAATTAAAATCTCATTTTTAAAATAATTGAAACATGTAAAAAATATTTTAACAATGATATCTTAATTTTATCACTTGATTCTATTTAAAAGAAGTTTGGGTCTGAAAACTTTCTATGGTTGGAACTTCAAAATATAAATTAAACATTATACTCCGTATATGGTATATTGGTGTAATGGTGTCATAGTGTCATTAGAAAGATCATAAAAAATATGAATTTTGATATATTTTTTGAGAAAATAAGAGTACAATTAAAAAAGTTACATAATTAGAGAAAAAAGAGATTCTACATTAGTCATGGACCCAATCCGACCGGCCCGGGAACCGGCCCGGCCCGCTACTGTGCGGAACTGGCCCGGCCTGGAAGACCGGTTCCGGTACCGGGCCTAGGCCTGACCGGAGACCATACCGGGGGCAGTCCCGGGGCACCAAAATAGCGAACCGGCCCGGCCGATTCCGGCCCGGTTCGGGCCTCCTGTTTTTGGTTTGGCCTGTGTTTAGGTGGGCTGGAACCGGTAGCCTACCGGGCCGGTCCCGGGCCTTACCCAACACCTCTCCGGCCCGGCCCGGCCCAGCCTAGGCCCGAACCGGAACCGGACCGGGCCCGGTCCACCACTATTCTACATTAGCTTCTCTTCTCAACCAATCTACCCAGCAACTTAGAAAAAATCCCGTTGTAACT